GCAGTGGATAGGGCCAGATTTACATATACCTCATTTTTGCCCATTACACCCATTACACTCACCATAGGTAAGGCAGCAACGTAGCCTATACAGTAGTCTGACAGGTGGAATAGATGACAGGGCAGCCACATGGAGGTAAACCGCATGCTACGCCATACGTACAAGTCCCCAGGTGGGATACGTCTAAGGTGAGAGCCGCCTTCGCGCCGCTGCCGTTAATTTCATGTTTGCATCTGCACAAATTTAGAATGTTAAAAAGTAAAACAAATAAAATGAACGCGGCGTAATTCAGCTGTCATTTCCTCCAATTGCTCATAATTGTAACTATAAAAAAGATCATTTACAGCCATATGTGCATCTGTACAGACAGCGAGTGGACAATTCCACATAATTACGCTTCAAAAGCAGCTTTCATCACTTACACGATGATGTATGCAAAACATCTCGGGGGTTTGGAGATGAAGGAGAAGAACAGTTTGAAAGAGAACAATGGGGTGTATTTTAGCAGCTGGAAGGCCTGCAGTAGTCTGGACCGGTAAACAGAGCAATCTATACGCAGCAGCTGCTACTTAGGCTGGGCTGAAGGATGGTTATCCACTTAGATCTGCAGAGATTGCTTTTCATCTTGCTGCAGCTGGTACCTTTCCCCATTCCCTGGTGATGCATCAGCCCCATGCTTGTCTGCAGCCACCACATCTGGGTCCAGCTGCACACATGCAGCACACATCTGGGTGCGGCCACAGCCCTCCTACAGGCATCTGTGTTCATCTGCCGCCATGTGCCCAATGCCGGGGTCAAGCTATTGTGAAAGGAGTCCTTTGCCAAATGTTAATGGGTGGCAGTGGAGGGCTACGACGACACCCACACACTACGATGAAGGCTTTTCACTTGAGAGCTTCTGCAGACCTTAAAAATGAACCAAACTCTGGTAGCCTAAAAAAAAAAAATAGTTACAGGACATAGGACTAAATCACCAGTATTGCCTCTGGCCTACCTGCAGCTGATCTTTTCTTCATTACCGACTTGCTCTCTGTGTGGAGGTCTCCACCTTGGCAGAGGAGCAGGGCTTTGGCAGAGCCGGGGTAATTATCGAATAGAAGGGACACCGGCACTCCAAGGCAGATCAAGTACGTGAAACGCATAGTATAGTAAAACACTCAGTGAACGTTTCGGGGTCTCACAGGACCCCCTTCATCAGGCAAACACTATTTGATGGAACAGTGGTTCTGAGTGTGATGGGTATATGGACTGTATCCAGTAATTATCAAGACGCAGTAGGAGGCGCAGAGGAAGAATCGATCCACAGAACATGTGAAGCAGAAGCAGGAAGATCCTTGCACTGCTGGTCCTCGAGTACAGCTTCCTCTCCAGCAAGGAGAACAATGAGCAGCAAAGTAGTGAATCATCAAATCCCTGGAGACTAGCAGTCAGAGGCAGCAGTGCCTTAAAGTGATATTAAAGCCAATTTGTTTTTTTAATTTCTCCATAGACACACACAGCCCTGTGGCAGTTCACGCCCCTTCCCTCTTTGATTGATGGCAGACGGAGGATCGCTTCGGGACCGGCGGTTGGGACAAGCGTAGCTGACAGGTAAGTGTGGGGGAGACTGGGGTAGAAAAAAGGTGCTGGGCCATTTTTACCCTAATGCAGAGAATGCATTAAGGTAAAAAACACCCAGACCTTAATACTACTTTAAATATCACACTGCAGATATGCAGCTATGAGGCTGTGGACACGGGAAGTGCAATGCTATTTTTTTAGGAGGCATAAATTAAAAGGAGAACTATGGGGTTAAGGCTTTTCCCCATAGTTCTCCTTAGGGTAACGGAAGGACACAAACTAGCGTCCTCCCGTCACCCTAGGCTCAGTATACCGCGGAGCTGTAGCTCACGGTATACCGAGACGCCGCAGCTGAAGCGGATCCCGACAATTGTGCCGGGATCCGCCCAGCTGCGTGACTGACAGCTGGCTCTGCCTACCTAGAGGCAGAGCCAGCTGTACCTGCCCCCTCCCCCGTCTGTTCCGCCAGTCAGCGCTGGCGGATCGGAGCGGGGAATCCAGCCCCTCCCCTGTCACGGCAGAGAGCCGTGACAGGATCG